TAAAGCCTTTCATTCTCAAACAGTTGGTCTCTTGACAATGTGTCTCTGCAGCTCCTAAGCACACATATAATAAAAACCTCATCAAGAACAGATCCCTGCAAAGGGACAGATACGAGGTTAGAAGCTGTGAAAGTTCACATTTCAGAAAAATCAAACTAACAAACTGCTGAGCCCTGTTAATTGTTTCTTTAAAAAAAACCAAAAACCAAAACCAACCCAAAACATAAGCTGTAAATAGCTTAACAGAGGGATTCTAAAACTTGGACTGATCTGGTTAACAGCAGGATTTACTAACCTGCCAGATTTCTTACATAAAAGTATGTAGATTACTATTTTTTTATTTCTAAAGCATATGAAATCTTGAGAAAAAAATATTGAAATGGGAAGCATGCACATGCTTTTAAAATCACTAAGTAATACTTTTGTCAATTTTTTTGTCCATAGATGAACTCAGAAACCAAACTTCTATCACAGACTAGCACAGAAACACATACATAAAGCCAATACTAGGCTAGTGTCTTGAGGGGGCTCATGAAAAAAATAAATAAATCTACCTGGTGCTTGAAACAGCTTAACAGAAGACAGAGCATGCATGTGAGCTGGGTGAGCACAGAGCCAGCAATGCCCGCCCAACACTCTACCAAGGACATGGGTTCCCCACAGCAACAGGCAGCTTGCACAAAACATAGTTTTAAAGGAGCTGTATGCCTTAAAATACTTCCCATGTGCATAACATGTCTTCAAGAAAATGCCAGCTTAGATGCTTTTGTTTTCATGAGGCAGAAGAAACCCACGGGATAGCAACAAAGCCTGGGTTGTCTGGGGGTTTTTTGGGGGGTTGGTTTTGGTTTTTTTTGTTCGGTTTTTTTTTTTTGAGAAGAGGTAGGAGAGGAAACACGTAGAATTCCTTCAGCATAATTTGTTTGGTTTATTGTTCCTGCAGCACATTACATTAGAGTCAAGCTCACGCATGAAGTACGGTACAAGGACAACTTCAGAACACCTAGCTCTGCTCTTGTGTTAGCAGCATGGAAGAAGGATGCAGCCAGGGCATTGAATCATGATTCCTCCAAAGGCTAACAAGGGAACCTTTCCAACACCTCTAAGGGCTTTCATTCAGTCCTTTAACTGAGGAGATGGACAAGTTACTAGTGGATCACTTCATAGATTTTTCTAATTCTAGAAGTCAAATTAAAGAACTGAGTTTGGCTTTTTTTCAAAATCAACTGAAGAGATTAGATCTCTTGCAGTTTTAGGTGAGAGAAATTTAAGGGAGCAGTTCACAGAAACTGCTCAGCCTCTGCTTTCTGAAATATTATCATCATGATGACTCAAAGCACACACCCTAGTATTACTGCTTTTTAAAAAAAGTCTTTTCCAGCAGTTATTTACGCCTAACAGTACAAGGAGTAAATAGGCCCTCCATTCCCAAAATCTTGCCCTCTACTAAAGCCATGAAGAGAACTGCAGCTAAGTGACTTAGCTAATAAACACAGCCAGCTTCAGAGTTCCTTGGAGTCCCAAGTTTTACAGCCCCCAAACAAATCAATCTCTTTCTTTTACTGGCTGTGTATATAACATAACATTTGCTTCAAGAAGTGCTTGTCCAGAAGTCTTTTGAATACAAAACAGGGAAAGTCACT